TCATTGTCCTTTATTAGCTATAACCGATGTTGACAAATGGTGAAATAGAAACGAATCCCTTTAAATGTTGAATGCATTATTTCATTCCTCTTTTTTAAGTATTTAAATCATTTTTTAAAGACAAAGGTTGAAATGATAAGTTTAAAATGCGTTGTTTTAAATCTCTTTCATGAAAACTACTTGGTTTTCGTCAGGAGGAACATTCCCCATTTCCACACGAGAAAAAAGATTCAGAAGAAGTGAAGAATTCAAGCTCGTTTGCTCATTCAGTGAATTTTCGAAATTCTTGAATCTAATGATTTCTTAGTATTCCAAAAGATTGAGTCGAAAACCTTTCGATTCGAAATCTGAAATTCATATTCGTGGTTGAACTAATGACCTTCTGTCAGAAGATGGTTTGCAGATATGAAATTGATCTAATTAATCGAAAAGCTACTCCTATGTTCTTCCCGTTTGGCCAATATTAAGTTTTAGGTAGAAATCACAAGTCAAATCATATACTTTCGAATTATCCAATACTGGAGTTTTGTTTTCACTGTTTTCAATAGATTGGCCGGAATTATCATTTTTTCTGGTGAGCCACGTCCAAGTCTGCCCTTTTCAAAAAACAAGCGATGTTATTGCTAGGTTCACTGAAGTATGTCAATGTCCTGAAATGCTTCTTATTGTTTCTTGTAGTGGAATACACAAGGTAAATGACTGGTTTTTGCAGATTTTTAAAAGAAGTTAGATATTATCGACCCGCGTAACAAGAAAAAAAAAAACGATATGGATGGGTACAGATGATGGGTATGGATTATAGAATTTTGAATTGAAACTGAATGGTATGATACTCACCAAATTGACATGAGCTTTATCGTCATAGTTGAAAATTGGTATAATTTCTTTGAAATTGGTCAGAATTTCGTTATGCCTTGCCATGTCTGTTGCCAGAATGCACCGAATCATACCTTCCCGAACCTGCTTGAAATCTTCGCTGCTAAATGATTTGAAGATATTGCAGTCTTCATTTTCCAGTATCCTGGAAAAATAATTCCAGAATAATTGAATCAAGTTTATCTCCATTATAATATACAACTTGTTCTATATCATAGGCATTAGAGGTCCTAGGCACCTAGGCATTGGAATGCCTGAATTGTGTTATATTAATCTTTCAGATAAGAAGTACATATGTATACATTTTATGAAAACAATGTTGTTAAATATGGGAAATAATCATGAAATAATTCAAATTCATTCAAACGAATACATGAACTGAAAGATGTTTCAACCTCAACTTCAGTATTCTAAAACAAAAACACTCAGTATTCAGAATTACATCTTTTACTATTTCAAATTCATAGACATCAAAATTGATACGATCACAGGATATAGAAATATAAAACAATCTCCAAATACGCGGATCAAAGTTTCAATGTCAGCGTATGAATCTTCATTAATATTGAGGGTGGTCAAGATCACAAAAAGACAGTATCAAGAAATTCATTCAGTATCTATTGATCTTCAGGAAAGATTCCAGCAATACAGCACATCTCTTTTTCTTCGATCCTGCTGGGTGGCAGTATAATGTAAGTTTTTGGTGATTTATTGTATTTTTATTAACATTTCAGTGTAAATTTATTCCTTAAGTATTTATCCCGTTTTGTTACAATAAATATTCAATTAAGTTTTTAAATGAGTTCTTTCATTATTTGGATGAATGATGAATGAGTGAAACAGCGAATAAAATCCCCTCTTTTTTAACCATCTCATTTTCTTCTGAACATATTTTTGGTTGTCCATAACTTGTTTTCTTCTATGAGTCAATGTTCAGCGAGTTCACACGGCCTCTTTATGAAGTTTTTTCCGTGTGTGTTTCTCGGTATGTCTTCCCAGTACTCTGCACGTTTTCTGTAGACCCACTTCCCCATCTTGTTCCGTACCAAAGATATTGGTACTACACAGCTATTTCAGAGCATCTATATAGAGTTGAGGATCCCTGTCTTCGTTTCCTGTGAATCCTGTGTACTCCTATCAGTATATACTGATCAATTTATATATTATATTAGACAATGGAAGTCCAAACTGATGAACTACACCATGAAACATTGTCAACCACCTTCAAACAAATGATATTTTGGTATTTAACCTCTAGACTGCTCTCCGCTTTGTTTGCGCAGTTTGAGCGCAGTAAATCCAAGTTTTGTCGCCGAATAATTACTGTAGATAAAGCCTGCCCGAAACGAAATTACGGTTCAAACAGAACTGCAAAGGGGGAACCGGCTCCAGAAAAGCAAAATCATCTTTTTTTTCAGTTGGGAAACTGATGGCAACTGTTTTTCCGGATAGTGATGAAGTTATTTCAATCGATTATTTTCGCATCATTACTGAAGGCAGAACTTGCCAAAAGACGGCCACATTTGTAGCAAAAGAAAATCCTATTCTACCAAGACAACCCACCGTCTCACATCTCAGCAGTTGAAATGGCGGTTTGAACTGCTTGCCCATCCCCCTCACTCATCAGATTTAGCCCCAAGCAACTTTCTTTTGTTCCCTTACCAGAAAATTGCGCTCGTAGGGACAGATTATCATCAATTGAAGAGACAGTTGCCTTCGTAAACAATTATTTTGCAGATAAAAACGTTTTCTTGGAAAATATGTCAATATCATATTAATTTATGAGTGACGTAAATAAAAGAAACAAACAAATTACTGACGAATTCTGATTAATCAAACATATATGTTAGAGAACGGTTGTGTGAACTGGGGCACGATGTAATCAATATCGAGGAGAATGAAAAGAGTGTTGGTCCAGTATATATCAGAGGAGCATTGTTATCTCTGAATACGCCACGATTCACTTCGAAGATAACAATGAAATGCCGTCAGACCCTGGTCAAAGCTGTCCAGAGCAATGTGATCATTCATTTTCGATTAGATTAAAGTGCATGTCAGACGGAGAGACAAACGGATCACTGGCTTGCCAGCTGAAAGGAACATCGATGAATGAATACCTCAAAACACCTCAGTGGCTGAAAATAGTTGAAGGAATTTTAACTTGGGAGTTTGTTTGAATTCTCGAAACATAATGTAATAGAATTCGATATGAAAGGGGAATCAGAAGAGGATAAAAATAAGAAAAAAAACTTCGCTTCACAACTTCCTGCGACATTTATTGAAGTGATAACTTCAATAACCGCTATTATAACCGGGGGGTTAACCGCTTGGCAACGTAACGCATAACGGCGCCAGTATATCTGGCATTCCTTCCTCCTCACTCTTACACACAGCGTTAGCCGTGTCTCGGACAAATGATTATCTCGCCTCTCTTCGCATGACTCAGTGTTCAGGGTGCGGTTGAAATATACTGTTGAAAAATTGGTGGAAAAACATTGTGAAGTAAAAAAAATAAATAAAAAAGCGATTTTTATTTCCAACAGGAGTACTGTTACAGGAAATACTATTATTACAGAGTATATATGAAATAAATACTGCAAATAATGGAATATAGAAATGTGTAAAAGTGAATGCTGAAACAAAGTATATATAGAATATTCATATACGTAGAATTTCAAAAGAGGAATGAAAAATTGAACATATAACACAACAAGTTACAAATCATGCAATGTAAGCAGTACTGACACAATTATTATTTATAGTATTATTAAAAGTGATTACAAGATACCAAGGCGTTCAGAGAGTCGAAATGAATATCGCAGTGTTCACAGATTTTATTGAAGCTACTGCACATAAAATTCAATGGTGATCGTAGCATAACATTTGTGCGTGATGCTTCACAATAGAATTTCAGATTGTGTCGACCTTCACTTCGTGGTAAAAAAACCGTACCGTCAATAATGTTGTTAAGTAATTTATGCAGGAATTTTATACCAAGGATAACTCTCCTATTTTCCAAAGATGTCATATCAAATCATGTCAACGAAATGTTATGATCGATGCCTCTCGTGGGGTATTGTCCATCAAGTTCTAGACATAAGTATACTAGGAACTTCCTCTACACGCTCTAAATTGATTTTTTTGGTAGTCGTAAATTAGATCTGGCATACGCAAAATATAGCAATTTTGAGGTGGCAATACTTTTGAAGTTTTTGCCATTTCTGTAAATGAATTCAAGCATCTTATTTGCATCAGCAGCAAAAATGCTGGGACAGGTCAATTTTGCTTTTGAGGGAAACACATTTTAGATGTATTTTTCTACCTGTGCCTTCAACCCCCTAGCGAGGGTGAGTAACAACCCTAAAATTTTAAATGGAAAGTGGGGTCGAGTGATATATCATTTGAAAGGACACAAAATTCTCTTTCCAATTATACCTAATTTGTTGTATTTACATGAATAGTTATAAAAAAAGCAAGAACATTTACTCGATATTTTTGGTGTTGATGAAAATGCGGAAAAAACGGCATTTTTATCACTACTACATTCCTCAATTTCTCTCGTGCGTTTTTATTACAAAAAAAGGAGAAAAGCAAGGTGCATACTTTACGTTGGACCACTCTGTATGTGTTGTGAATGTTAATTTACTGGCATATGTTATACTAAGATCTTTCATCTCGTGTACACCGTTCATTGTGGTATTGTTGATTAAATTATCGTACATTAAAGTTAGCTTTTCTGTTGTGAATGATATTATATTACATTTGGATACGTTGAATTGTAGGCGGTTATCGTTACACCAAAGTTTGATTACATCTAATTCATATTATACACGTTGTCAGTCAGTAATGTCGTCAATTTTATATATAGTGTCAGGTCATCTGCAAATAGTAGGCTTGGAATATTCAAAGAGGTTGTCAGATCATTAATGAAAATTGAAAATGAAAAAGGTCCAATATTAAAACCTTATGGTACCACAGACGTAACTATATACTGAGCCGATTTGAAAGATTACATACATAACATTTTGCACACATGTTTTGAATAGTTTCGAAAAGTTACATAAAATTGAAATTGCCCTTCAGTTTGTGATATCGCTAGAGTCACCTTTTTTATATCGGACAAATTCAAGCCGTTTTCCACTACTCAGGGAAGGCACAAGTTGTTAAAAATTAGTTGAATATGCCTTTTAGAGGTATAGAGAGAACGTCGATACAGTCCTTCATCACAAGACTAGGAACATTGTCAACGTCTGCGGTGAGTTGATCATTTTTTTTTTGAAGCAGTAACAATATCGATTTTGGACAAGGCAGGGATGTTTATTATATCTAAATCAGAGTCATGAGAATTTTCACGAAGCATATTCTCGTCCGAAACCAAGTATACACTTCTGAAGTACGTGGCGAATCTTTCGACAATATCCCCAGGCTTATCAAATATCTCATCCCCAAGTTTCATTATACCCGGTATATGCGAATGTCCTGTATTACTGTGTGCGAAAGACCAAAAAGTCGAGCTGTCAGATAAAATATTATCTCAGCTATGTTTGTAAATTGACTAAATGAATTGATTTTTATAAAATTCTGTTTTATATTTCTTATAGTTTTTTTAATATGCTAATTCTTTTTTCTTGATATGGCTGATAACTTCGGCGTCGAACCATGTGGGAAATTTATGCGTTTTTACTGTTCTCAGTGGAACTATTGGAAGGAAGATGCTGTGTAATTTCAATCATGATGGTAGGTAAACTGGTCTAGTTGGAATTTGTGTATTATAGAGAAGCTCAAACTGGTCGTTGAAATTGGTTCGGGGTACCAACCGTTGCGTTAGAAACGGAAAAGTAATACCGATTCAGCGGCACTAATATGGATATTCCATCAGAGGTCGGTATAATAATAGATCAACTTTTACCTGAAAGCCACGCTGCAGTGATGATTCTCCAAAGGTGATATGTCGTTGTAGCGGATGGCCAGTTCAGTTTTGGCGTTGATTTGGTAGATGTTGTTGTAACCTGGATGATCAAGGTCGTGGCATATGCACGAAGTCAGGAGAATGAGAACTTCGAGGTCACCGATTCTATTCGGGAGATCGACACACCAGGAAATGGCGTATAACTGAAATGAATACAGTTGTGAAATAAAATTCAAATGATACAGTTCATCGTATAATTTTCACTTTAAAGGGTTTTACAAAAACCGCGACGAAAAATCTTCCAAATAACTATAGACACGTAGCTTTGTTATCAGTGATATCAACAATCATGTAAAAATTCGTATACCACCATATCCTCAAATATTCGGAAGGATTCAACATCTTGAGCGATCATCAATATGGCTTTCGGAAACAAAGATCAACAGGCGACCTTTCATCGTATGTCACCAATATATGGAATAACGCAATCGAGAAACATAGAGAATCAAGAGTTCTTGCGCTTGCTTTTTCTAAAGTCTTTGACCGTATGTGGCATGAGGGTTTGCTGGCCAAACTACGATGCTATGGCTTTTTGGATCACCATCAACGCTGGTGTTTCCAGGAAATCCATATTGTCTCAGACCCTCTTTTCATTGTATATCAACAATTTATTCGAAAAACCAGGAATTTAATATATTGCTTTGCTGACGACAGCACACTTGTCTCGTCATTTCATTTGGATTCCAGAACATCGGCTACGGAGGCGGGTGGTTGTACGTAAGGGTTAAACGGAAATAGTCAGATTATATATTTTTTGTTATCCTTGAATTATTTCCTTCAAGATAAAAATGAAAGCTACGATCGAAAATGTCGAAATGACGTTATTTTTTTACAACTTTGCTGCCCTCCCCTTTCTTTACGTCACTCTCAGCATGTAATTAACTCATCCTGACTCAATCTGACTCGCTCGAGAATTTCTATTTTTTTTTACTAAACTGATCCTTTATCCTTCACGGGCGGCCTTATATATGGGGCTCATATTTGGTGGAGGTACTTAACGCGGGTACAAGATATCCCCCTGTATATTATTCTGCTGCGCTTTGGTAAATCCTCGCTTGGGCACCCTTATTACTAGAAGTGATTTCGAATGGGGGGGAAACTAACCAGGTTAAATTCAATGCCACAAAAACCCAGGCAGCGGTTTTCTCCACGAAGATAAATATCTCCGAAGCGGATATAATAATGTCATGTCAGACAATTTCGCTTTCTGCTTCGATAACTCTGTTGGGGGTTAAAATGGATACTAATATGTCTTGGCACAGTCATGTCGCTGAAATTGCAAAGGTTGCTTCTCGGAAGCGTATAACACTATTCCGAACCAGAAAACTGTACACACCAGAAAACTGCGTTTCATTGAAATGTACCGATTCAAATGGCGCTCATTTGGATTGAATTGAATAAGTAGATTCGTGAAAACAGACGAAACTTTTGAAACAAACTAATATTCACATTGCGATTCTTCTGAGCATGCAAAATTCGTTCAATAGTATGTAAAAATTACGTTCAAATCTCCAGATAACTCCAATAGACGAATAAAATTTGAGTTATTATGTTTGGCTCCAAAATAGTGTTCACGATCCTAAGTCATAAACCTCCCAATTATAATTGAAATCAATCTGAACCGTTTTGTATCATTCGTCATTGCTTCCAAAATATAACAATGTTTGCGGAGTTTTACTTCTTTTTCATAACAAACAAGTTCATTTGCGTCAACTCCTCCGAGAGAAAACTTTTGAATGGAAGTTTCTTGTAAATAATCAAACCTCCAGTGAAAAACAAGAAACTTCTGAGTACATAGAAAGCGCCATTTGTTACAACTAACAGGTATCGAATGCGGAAAGTTGGTTGAAGCAACAATGAAAACCTACGACAGCCAAGTGAATTTATGTTGAACTGCGAGAAACACAGAATTCAAGGGTGAAATCAAGTGATAGCTCTATGAGCAGGTATCAACTTGGGATAATGAAATTCGAACACGAATATATGTGCATTTCATTCAAAACGAGCCATCCTGAATAACTTTCGGTCCAATGATTTTCAGGAAAAATAAAAAATACGTCTAAAATAGTATACAGAGGGACACATTTAAACGTATTCATATCTGATGTTACTTTCCTATTGTACCCTCTGAGCATGTCACCATTTTTTTTAAATGGATCACCCTATTTCGTTTCGCATTATCAGATGCTCCATGATGAGCAGATTTCAACAAAATAAAAAACATATGGTCTGAAGCTTATGGTTCGAGAGCTACAAATCATTCGAGTTGAAAACGAACCCTGAATACTTTTGAAGCAATGATTCACAGGAAAAATAGAAAAGCAGGTCAACAATTATATAGGAGGCTACATTTTGAAATATTCGTTCTAGAGACAAATATGGAAGCAATAAATCAGAAAAAGAGATTTTTCACTAATTCTTGAATGAAAATCTGATGACTGACCAATAAGAAAAAAAATTCTATAGTAAATGTTCAAAAACGTTACCAACTTTCATAAAATGGTACGAACGAGCTTCAATTGCCGCCCTCACATGGTTGAGATCTCAAGAGGTATTTCTCTGCAATGCTTCATATTCTCTCTCAAATCTTTTAATGTTGTTGATTCTATCTCTCATACACTTTAGACTTCAAATGACCCCATAGAAAGAAATTTAGAGTAGTGAGATCAACAGACCATTCTGTAGGACCTCTTCTGTCAATCCGGCGACCAGGAAAATGATCATCCAAAAATTGTCTCACTGGAGCCGCATAATGAGGAGATGCCCCATTCATCTGTTAAAATTATCCGTGTGTTTGTGGATCTCTGTTGCCTCCCGTACCAGTCGGCTATGGTATCTCTGGTTGGGGGCAATTAGTTCTGTGTTCTCAAACAAAATTCTGTGGTCTCCTTCACTCAGTGCGTGTTCTGCCACAGCTGACTTGTCTGTTTGGCCTAGTCTGCAGTTCCTTTCATGCTCTTTTAGTCTTATTCCCATGGATCGTTTGGTGGTTTCGATATAGACCTTTCCACAAGTGCACGGAATGCGACAGACCCCTGCTGCTGATAATGGCTCTCTTTTGTCTTTAGCCGACTTGAGGCTTTGTTGAATCTTCCTCGTGGGTTTGAAGACTGTTTCGATGTCGTGTTTGCCCAATAGTTTCCCAATTCTATCTGTGACCCTAGGGACAAACGGTAGATATGCGCGTGCAACCATCTGATCCTTTTTCACTTTCTGAACCGTGGTGCCCTTCGGTCTCATGGCTCTTCTGGTCTCGGAGGCACTGTATCCTTCGATCTCAAAGTCACTTCCAGATATTTCAGTTCCCTGTCCAGATGTTCTGGTTCACATATTCTCCGAGCCCGTACCGTTAGAGTGGGGATAACTCCTCTCTTTTGGTTAGGGTGGTGGTTCGATAGTGCGTGCGTTCGATAGTGCGTTCTCGAAGCGTATAAACCATTGCTTCTCAAGAACACCAATTGTATAACTTTATCTGTTAGGTAATCGTTATTGTAGAATGAGACAAATACAAATTGAAGGGAATATCGAATACAAACTCAACTAAGCAAAATAAGACTTTTTGGAAAACATCTATGAAACCAAAATAACAGATTGAACAGAAGTTCATTCAGGGTGGCTCCTTTTTAACTCAAATAATTTTCAGTTTCCAAACTATGAGCTCCAGACCATAATGTATCTTACTTCGTTGAAATATGTTCATTATGGAACATCTGATAATGCAAAACAATTGATCCACTTTGAAAAAATGATGACATGCTCTAGGGGTGTGATAGGGAAAGTTAGATCAAATGTGAATATGTCAAAATGTGTCCCCCTGTATACTATAGTTAACGGGTTTTTCCATTTTTAATCAATGCACAACAAATGAATTTACTCACCATTTGTGCGACGCAAAAACAATGTCGGAAATTGTGGAAAGGTACGTCGTTGTAGTTTTTGTACGCTTCATAAAGAAAATTCCTTAAAGTAGTAATATCTATGGCAAACTTTGAACAGAGATCGTGGTCAAGGTACATTTGTTGGAGTAGCAGAAGAAGCTCTTCGTCCTCCCAAGGCCGTGCGTCAAATGTCGGCGCCCGAAGCCATTGCCGAATAGCGTCGGAAACTTGTGCGTCACTGAAAAGTAAAGAGAACAATTAGCTCGTAACAGTAGCAGAGAAAAGTGTTGTTGAGAGATTGTTTTCCGTGGTTTACAGGTTTCACGCCTGAAGTTTCGTCTATAACTGCGGTGTACAACATGTTGGGCATAAAAACGTGCAGACTACGCTCAACAAACACAACAGATTGCTTTGACATAATCATTTCTGTCCGTCAAAGTTTACACTCTCTTATAAAGGGTCCAAACATCTTTATTTAAATAAACATCCCCAAAATTCTTAGACCCCTTTACGTTTGTCTAGATGAGACACTATTACCATAAGTCAAGAAGTGTATTACGAAGTACATTTAATTTGGTTTTGTAACCAATGCAAATTGGCTGAATTCAATTTTAGCTGAACAAGAACAAAAATACAAACGAGAAATAGTGCGTAATGCAATGATTGCCAGAATTTGAAATGTAGAAGAAAACCATTTTTGAGCGAAATCAAAAATGCATTAATATTCGCTGTATCCCCCCTGTTCTGTAGTAAGGTGTTAACTCGCCTGTACATGGAAACAATAAGGGCGTTTATGGAATCCATCAAGATGTTGTTCCATTCTGCTTAGGCCGCAAGTGTAAGTTTAGTGGTGCTAGGAGGATTAATTCTGTTTGAGATTGCTCGTTCAATGGAATTCCACATTTGTTTGAAGGTGGTTGACAATGTTTCGTGGAGTATTTCATCTGTTCGGACTTCCATTTTCTTATATAATATAAATTGATTTGATAACCCTGCAAAAAATCAAAAAGATTAACCGAAAATAACAATTTCATTAAACAAAAAACTGAAGTTACGAAGAAATAACATACAACAACAACAAAACAAATAAAAATGGAAATAATAATAAAAGCTGAAAAAAATTGAAAAATCATAATTATTATTAACAAAAATTGGAAAAATAAAAATTGAAAGATTTCAAACCAAGTTATGTCACAAAGTTTCGATTGTTAATATCCACAATTTTTCAATTTTCAGCTTTTATTATATTTTCAATTTCAATTTGTTTGGTTATTGTTGTACGTTATTCCTTTGTAATTTCAGTTTTTTGTTTAATAAAATTGTTATTTTCGGTTAATTTTTTTAATTTTTTGCAGGATTATCAAATTTATAATACATTAGACAATGGAAGTCCGAACTGATGGAATTCCACATATTCTCAATAGGATTCATGTCTGGTGAATTTGCTGGTCACGGTAATCTTTGAATATTCTCAATCTCTAGTGCATTTTGTACACTGCTCGTGCGATGGAGCCTAGCATTGTCATCTATGGAAACCAAATTGACTACAACTTTTCGGAGAGGATGAATAAAGGGTTCGATAATGTTTCGAACATATCTATCCCCTGTCATAGTATCTGGATTGAGAATAAGCTGCGTACGATGACCATGCATTATGCCTCCCTAAAACATTACTGATCCTCCTTGGTATGGAACGCCCTGGACCTCTCCAAACTCTGTGCCGTCGACTATCACTAACTAAACCAAATCTGGTTTTGTCTGAATAAAGGACATTTCGCCACTGAGCTGAAAGCCAGTCTCTGTGTTCTTTTGCCCACTGTAGACGAGCGGCTATGTGTCTAGAAAGTAGCCTGGGTACTCTTAATAGCCTCCTAGATTGCAGATTGGCTCTAACAAGTATCCGCTGTATTGTGGTACTGGAAATTAATAGACGAAACGTTCTTCTTGAATTAGTTCGGACTGCTGAAACCGTTATGGTTCGATTCCGACGTGAATATTCTGTTAGATACTGATCTTCTCTTGCATTAGTTACTCTAGTTTGTATGACAAATCTTGCATCTTTGAATCAATATCTCTGTACGTACACAAATATTATGACATTTGTCAAAACCAAAAAATCTTATACATGTTCAACTTTCTACGTCAGTTTATATGTTCAATTTATTGTTTTTAACTCATTTTTACTGCCCTGAAGAAGCTTCCCATTAGAAGCGAAAGCTTGGCAAAGTAGAGCAGAGATTTGATTTTTTGACTGACAGACCCTGTTAATCCATTTTGCTGTCCATTTCTCCAGTCGCTAAGATTATCCATTAAGATTATAAGATTAGAATATGATGTGTTGTCTTTCCGGGTGTTCATCCGTTGTGTACTATTCGATAGTCGACGTTTCGCCATCATCTCAGATGGCATTATCAAGACGAGTTACTGCTTCGCTTCGAGAGGTGTAAGTGATGTTAGGTTCTTCTTGTGGTGTTTTTATATGGCTTCGCTTGCGTAAATTGTATGGATGTGTTACCTGTTTCTCCACCTGAGGGTTGTTAATGGCCATTTAATTTTTGGTGGAGGAAGTCAATTTGATTTTATGGTGAATGTGACGGTTATCAGGTTGTTTGAAGAGTTTAATCTGTTTAAATTCCATGTGTTTTTGTAGCTCCACATCTACATTGATATTTATTTCACAGTGTGGATATGTGGATATTCATCAGTCTCCTATCAAGGTTAATTCACAAGTGATTGATCTACCTCCTTCTTTTTCAGTGCGGTCAGTGGACTCAGGTCATTCTTGCCCCCCCAAATATGAGTTGCAGTCCTCGTAGAACTGGTTCCCTTTCAATGGAAGAGCTTCATGAAGCAAGAGCCGAATTGATCTCTCTACGAAACCCTTCTTCACCTGGAAGGATCGATCGCAGCTTGAGAAATGCTTCTTATGGAGATTCGGTGAAACATATTCTTCCTTACGAATCAGTAGATAGTTATCCTGAAAATCTAGAGAAGAAAATTGGATTGGATAATTTAGAGATTATCACCATATGATGTCGAATTGAAATTGAACCAAAGATTTACCGAAATAGTCCGAAAAATTAACCATACATTTGGAAACGATAGTGTTAATAAAGGTACTGTTCTACGTTAATTTATAAAATTTCGTTCCGGATATTTTAGCATCGAAGATGAGCCCCGGGGTGGTCGATCTACAGTGATCCAGGACGAGGATTTGAAGATCTTGGTGGAAGACTGACCCATCACAAACGGTGCGTGGAATTGTGGTAGTACTAAGCATCAGCTCCCATATGGTTTGAAATATAATGGAGATGTCGAGAAGCTTGAAAAGTGAGTGCTTCACGATTTGAATGATCAACAAAAATCGTCTGTTTCAAGGTCTGTTCTTCTTTGCTTTTACGCAACCAAAAGATCCTTTTTTTGAATCGGATCGTCCCGTATGATGAGAAAAAGATCCTTTACGACAACAGGAGACGTTCAGGATAGTGAAAGAATCCAGAGTCCTATTCTGAGGAAATCGACGAAATGTACCCAAAATTGCGTTAGTAAATGAGAGTTCTGTTGAACCTAACAATAGTCAAAGTATAGTAGGCTATTGAAAAAAAAAGTTGGTCAAAAACATTCTTTTCTTTTCTTACTCACTCATTTACTTACCATATATTAGCAAAATTTTGTTTCACCCGTTTCTTCACCGAATCACTTTTCCTACGATATTGAAGACGTCGGCATTCTTCGCTCGAAACGGGTTCTGGAAGTTGTTTGTAGAATCCTGAAAAAGAAAGAGTTGTGTCATACATATACCTTTCGTACTGAAAAATCAGAAATTGATATCGACATGATATCATATCAAAAAAAGTTCATGCTCCAAAACATCATTGGTTTGCTAATAATGAATGAATAATAAATGGGCATGAACATTTTAGCTGATGTGTGATTGTATTTTGTGTACTTAGAAAACTCTTTGAAACCTCATTGGGACGTTGTTTGAGTAAAAATGATTAATAAAAAGCAAAACTAGTTTACAATTCAGTTGGTATGTGAGAGCAGTTTGTTGTTAGTCAAGTCTCATTTATGAAATATCAAATTTCATATCGGATTGAAGGGAAATTTTGGCACTAGTATCACATTACAATAATTACATCAGAACATTTGTTTGAAGGTGGTTGACAATGTTTCGTGGTCTATTTCATCAGTTCGGACTTCCATTGTGTAATATAATAAAAATATTAATAAAAGCTGAAAATTAAGAAATATTATTAACCAAAAATGGAAAATAAAAATAAAAATTAAAAGATTCCAAACCAAGTTACGTCACGACGTTTCGATTGTTAGTTTCCACAATCGTCTTCGGGTGATAACTGGATTTCACCTATCCCCTCTTCCCCCTCAGCGCTTCATAGGCTTCAGCGGGACCTGACCGTTTGGCGGGAGTTGGTTGTGTTTTGCTTGATTATTCCTCTGAGATAGGAATTATAGGTCATTCGGGTGCTTTCACCTTTCACCTATCCCCTCTTTCCTCTTTTCGCTTCATTGGTTTTAGCGGGAGATGACCGTTTGGCGGTCTGTTAATCTTTTATTTTTTTCAAGGATTTCAAATCAATTTATATTATATTAGACAATGGAAGTCCGAACTGATGAAATACATCAGAACAATTACATCTGCAGATTATATCATGAGCAATACCGCATGGAAGTCTAAAACATACTCTGCTTGTGGCTATAGAGCTTTCTAGTGTTTCTGACGAAAAAGTGAACAGCCAAGATCTGACCTTTTTCTTGAATGAGTTGATCGTTCCAAGTTCGAGCGGTAGCTCATTGAAAATTTTGGTCCCAAAAAAGTATAACATTTCTGTCCTTTCGTTTTTTTTAGTTCCGGGTATCAATCACATCGTTGGTTTTATGCCTTGTGTTGTGATGGTGCTGAAGAGGTACCAACGATGATTTATGTCTATAGTGCCTCAACAGGATCGCAAAAACAAATATCTGACTTACGTTCATTATCGTCGTTTCTCTATACAGGCTACATGACTTTTAATTTTTTTGTTGATTATTGATAAGTGTTTCTGAGGCTCCTCCCCATGCAATGATTCCATAAGAAAGGTGGCTTTCGACGAGAGCATGGTAAAGTATTTTTAAATATTTTATATTATTGATGTTAGGTATGTTTTTGAATTTATAGACCGTGAATCGCAACTTTTCAATAACATAATTAATTTGATCTTCCCAATTTGAATGAGAATCTATATATATGCCTAGGTATTTAAGCTTATCGATGGTAGTGATTCACATTGGATTTGAATCGCTGAAGATGAAGTCCATCTGAAAAAACGTTGTCAGGAAGTTTATTCCACATAAACGCCGTTCTCCAAATGAAAGAGTTCTCAAACAGTTGAGTTCGAGGTGTACACAGTCCGTCACGTATTTCTGATGAGTACCGCTCTTGGTGGAATCAAATGTGCTAAGTCAACTTCCCNTTTTATTTCAACATGATTTATAACTAGTGATACAGTATAGTATTTTATGTATAGATGTGAAACATTACTTATCCCCTCAATATCAAATACTTCACATGCTAAGTAAATATTTTGAATTACAGATGGAAAAAGACACAACTAACTATATGAGGTACACCATGGGCTTCAGCAAAAAAATATTGTTAACAGATGATGCTGTACCAACAAAATTTCATTGTCAGGGTCGCAAAAGACAGCTATCTGATGGTGGACCTGGATCTTCTCGAGAAGCAACAATTAAAAGGCAAAGATTTGACATTGTCAAAAAATGTTTACAAAGTGAAAATGCTACTGACATCCATGAAGAAAGCTTACAAGCCTTACCAGTGAGGCTATTGAACAATTAAAGTGTCTCAAAAGAACCATTTGTTTAATTCATAAGAAACCTTTGATGTATGTTGGTATTTCTAAAGAATGTTATTTTTTAATTCAGTTGATACATAAACACTCGAATATAAAATTAGAATACATTTTGTTATACTTAAAAAAATTTGAATGAATAGCACTTTTTCAGAACTAGAGGATAATTTTGTAATATCATTATCTTATGATAGTAAATTATTTTTAACAAACATACCAATAATAGCTAGTTTTTTAAGACCCTTCATTGTAAACTTGGATAGAAAATAAATTAAAAAAATCTCCCTATTGCATTTAGACATAACTATCATAATATCAGGTGAATCATAGATTGTTTAGAAATTGATATACAAAAGCCATCAAATACTCTTCATCAGACTCTGAGACATGGTCGGAGTACAAAAAAGGGAACACTGTAAAATATTTAATATCATGCACACCTATTGGTTTAATTAATTATATTTCTCATGGGTTTGGTGGTAGAACAAGTGATGTTGCAATAGTAAAAAACTGTAACTTTTTAGATGGATTACCTCTGGAAACTTACATCTTAGCTGACAGAGGTTTCAAGCACCTTGAACAGATACTTCATAAAAAGGGTATGAAACTATTAAGACCACCCAGTGTAAAAGCTGGTACAAAATTGACTAAAACTGAAGTTCGACAAATTAAAATAATTGCCAGCTTGCGAATCCACGTTGAACGGATGATAAGGCGTTTAAGAGAGTTTCATATGTTGAAACAACATGCAGTGATAAATCAAATAGGTGAAATACCTATAACAATACACCGGAAGTCTTTTATTTATTTATTACTTTAACTCAAGACTCCATATGATGAGGCGATAAAATAATTCAGTCCATACTGCTTTGATATATAGATTATGGAAGGATTATGTTTTGAACCCTTCTCATAGATACGCCACTGGCGTTTAGCGTTTGGTGCAGATTTGCCTCAGCATGCTGTTGGTTGTTACGAGTCCATATATCTTTCCTTGTCTAAGTTGTATACACATCATAACAACGAACATCGGAGGCGGCATCAAAGCTTTTGCATCTATATTAAGTCTGTGCTTCTGCTGTGACCAGTGTTGTCAGCATTCCCCAGGTTCATAACCATTCAGTTTAAAAATTTTTATGCGAACGGTCCAAACTGAATTACCCTTCCATCTCGTCTGGTCTTATAATGTTCTGTGACTAATTGCCGATTGATCTATGTTGTACATTTTCCTTAAAAAAACTGCCTTTACACGTCTTCGTAGACAAGTGACAAAGACAGAAGATATGAAAACAAATATCAATTTATCTGATGAGTGTTTACTGTTTTCGGCCTTATTATCCGCAGAGGAAATGTCAGATCTGAAACCTGCAGATCATGACCAATAAACGCGAAAACAAATTTTGGTCCTTTTTCATAATGAAACTTTGTAATATTTCAAAATTAGAAACAAGATAGCTTTTGCCAAGAGTGAACTGGACAAAATACTCATATACAAGTTTCTTGAAACTTTTTCGATTATTCTCCAATCAACTTTGTTACCAAGTAACACTTGACTTCAATGTATTCATTATGATTGAACATTCATGGAAATAAACACTTATTATCACTATGTTGAATGGTCAAATTGGAACCATAAAAAGAGTCTGCCTAATTGAATGAAGAGAGTATCAATTATTCACAAAATATTTTTTATTGCCAAAAATCTATGTATAATCAGTATCTCGCGTTTTTTGCTGTTATTGATTTTTTGCGGATTTAACATCCTACTACTTTGTCTCAGCAGATCAAACACTTCAGAATGTATCAGGTCTATTACCATTCAGTGTTGAATTTTTTATACGAACGGTCCAAACTGAATTACCCTATCACCTCGTCTGGTCTTATAATGTTCTGTGACCTATTACCGATTTTTCTGTTTTACATTTTCCTTCAATAAAAGACTACTCTTAAACAACTTCGTAGAAAAGTGACAAAGATAGAAGATATGAACAAATGTCAATTGATCTGAAGATTGTTTTCTAATTACCCGTGGTCTGCAGGTTTTTGGCTATGACGTTTTGTGTGCAACTACACCAATCCAGATTAAAGGCGATGCGGCAATGCCGTCTGGCACAGTTGCAGACCAAATGTTAAGTCAAAAATCTGCAGATCAAGACCAATAAACGCGGAAACAAATACTATTACTATTTTTATTGAACATTGAACATCATTTCGTGAAATTTCAGGGACAGTGGGTTTTTTTAATGTTGTTTTACGTATTCGTCCATTCTTTCATTCCCGCTTTTCGATAGGATTTTTCGGATTATTGACATTTGCCTCGTGCAATACAACTTTGTTGGATTGGCAACACTGACTCAGACACACAGTGAGTTTTTTCTACCAAAAAAACAAAACGATATAAAATAATTATGTTTTGAATGTTCAGATATGGTTTTTTGTTAACAAAAAAAAAAGATACGTGAACTCTGAGTGCATTGTAATAACTAATCATCTATTGGAGCTTTGCCACTAAAAATGAGATTTTCAGAAAATACCTGAAATGGATACAAAGCCCCTTCCACCCTCAAAAGTGGATACAGGTGTGTTTTGTGAATATTTTTAACAGATGAACTTTTAAAATGTTATTTTTCTATCAGTTACTAATCTGGGTGATAACGATGAACCTTATCCAAGTTTGTCAGACTGCCATGACTATGAACCTAATCTCGAGTTTGACGACTCTGAACTTCTTCAAAGTCCGGAAGACATCGAGCAAACAGGTAATAAATTATTTCAATATTCAGCATAGTGATTACTTGATTAAGTAGTTTAGTGATCCAGTATTTTTTCTGAAGAAAGGTTGGTTGGGTACCAGGATCAATTTTCCTTAAAAAACCAATTTTTAACAAAACTTATATGATAATTATCATTTCAATTTTACCAGAATTAATAAGTTCTTGATTAAATTACTCACCAAAAAGTAATTTCTTCCTGTTAATATTACTATTAACTGTTTTCTAAACCATTAGACATATCAGATACATTTAAAATTTTAATTTCTCTTGACATGTTATCTTTTTTTAACATTCCTACTTATAGATCTCTTGATTAGTACAATTTTAAAAAAATGGGATATAATTTCATAGATCTTTTCATAGAAGTTTTGAATTATGTATAGACTCTAATTACTTTTGTTACAATGCATCTTTTTACAAAAAAAATTTCGGGTTGAGAATGGGTAATTGTATGTAATTGTATGTATGAAAATTGTCATTTTCATTGTCTTTTTTCAAAAGATATGTTGACGATATTGTTACTTTCATTCCAAAAAATAAACAAACTGAAATATTAACTACCTGCTTTTCATAGTTTTCATCCAAAACTGAAATTCACTCTTGAAATGTAAAAAAACAATTCGTTAGCATTTCTAGATACTAAAATAAATAAGGATGCAAACCGAATTTTAAAGGTAGACTGATATCATAAATCAACTTTTTCTGAAAGATTTTTAAATAATTTTTCAAAACATAACTTCCACAGTAAAATTAACATTATAAGGAATTTGAAATCAAGAGCAATTGTCATTTCCAATTCTGAATTCTATAACAAAAATCTCCAATTAATTGCGAATTACCTAATAAAAAATAATTTTTCTAGAGCTCTTATTAGAAAAACAATTAAGAAAGGAATTTCTCTTCCCAAAATATAGGGGTGAAACCCATTTCTAGAAAATTTATCTGATAAACTTGAAATGCTACTCAGTACCGAACAAATTGAAGTGGACAGTTGTTTTCTCGAAACAAAAAACAAAAACCCCGCAACACTCCAATATAGTGTACAAATTGAACTGTGGAAGGTGTTACAAATGATATGTTGGTCAAACCGGACGGTATCTTAAAACACGAGTTTCATAACACATGAGAGACTTTAAGAAACTGAATATAAAAAACTTCACAGCCCTCGTTGAACATGAAAAAGAATATGGACACATTTTTTATTTTGATCATCCTAGATGTTTAACCATATTTATCCAAAAGACTGAATAATTTACCATGACTTACCATGACATGATGAAACTACTTTTTGGTGAGTAACTTGATTAAGAACTCATTATTTCTTGTAAAAGTGAAACGATAATGATTGTATAAGTTTTGTGGGAGATATATGTCTGAAAATTCATCGTTACAGAGCCCTGAAGAAGAATTCAATTAAATTCTTAATGTCGACAAGCAAACAATTGTTTTTTAAGAAAAAAATTGATCCTGTTACCCAACCAACCTTTCTTCATAGTAATTACTATTGACAATTCAGAATACTAATAGTGTCCCGGGAAGTATGTTTTGAATCATTTTCACTATATCAGTAATGTAAAGACGAGATGGATTAAAAAAATTATTCAAGGGTTAATTGAATTTGACAGAAATTACACAACTGAGTATTTTTGACCCTTTATTTTCTACTTTGTGTGGTGATGGGAGTCACATATTGGTCTACGACTACTAACTAGATATAAAAAACATTACTCCTCTTAACACAAACATGCCAAATATTATTTCTATCGCCAGAATGGCTTAACGCTAAGTAAGCATAACTCAACCAGAGAATAAACATTTTATTGAATCAGGCTATGTCATGATTTAAGTCTCACTTTAGGATCCCATTTTCCCCTATCGCCGATTTGCTATGTGTTGTTTTTTTTTATCAGTGGGTTATGTTAGCTTTACCGTTCAGCTGGTAGAAACAAATTGAAATACTCCATTTTCTGGAAAATTTGGACCTGCAATGATTTTTAGGCTCAATTTAGACTCCTTCATTGTATAACTGAACTTTTTTGCTCCTCTTTTGAATTGAATATTCAGGTGACTATCTCAGACAGACGTGACAAAAATGGAGATAATTTTTCAAAAACATTCTTTCAACTATGGGTGACAGTAAATAATGTTGAGCATTATAGGCTCATTTTTGGCTTCTATGACCATTGCTGACTTTCGATGTACTCTTTTTTTAAATGGTGGATTCTGCCAGTTTTATTGTTTTGATTTTGCAATAATTTTAGACTTATTTAGACAGATAGATAGATTCATCAGAAATATATGTCCTAATAGATAGATAGATAATATATTTGTCTCTTTAGGTTGTTCTTACAACATGAGATATGTCAAAAAAAAATAAAAAGCAAACAACAAGTACAAACACATTAACAATAGTACCAGTGTGAAGGTGGCCATGTGTTTTCATCCATGTGTTTGGTGAAAGAGAGGCGAGCGCGCTATTCCGCCATAGGTCGTTTCACCGCAATTATTCACATGGCTAGCCATGGAAATTTTTACATTGCTGGAAACGAACTGATGTGATTGGAAATGATTCTAATGATGATGAATTTTTTTTTTATGAAATGAACCGCATTTTATTGAAATTGTACAAACTGATAATAATAGAAACAGAAAAATAATTCCAAAAGGAAATTCGTTG